CTTTTATCCCAAAAAATTTTTTGCAGTTCCACGTGAAATTTAGCAAAGTTTCTATTATTGATTACCAACCTTCTAGGCTTCTACTAACTCCTATATATGTAGGCACCGTTTCACAATTGTGTGAATGTCTCTCAACCGTTGGATGACTAATCTAACAGTGCCATATGGCTTTACAATTTGCTCCATGTACATATTAAGAAAATCATATGTACATAATAAAAAAATCATATACGATGAAGGGATATATATCCATGCACAAATTTCGAATATGTATATATCCTTGCACCTTAACACGTACATATTCTCTACATTTACTAATTCCAAATGAAATGACGTTAATAATTCCCTTCATTGTAAATTTGAAGTTAAACTTAGTCTTTGGATATTGGAATGGATAAGTTTAGATGATATAATTGCAACCCATTAATATCACATAAGATATAGTTTGTAATGATGAATATCGCATAAGATATGGTATTAATAACATCAACAAAGAAGATGAAGTATGCCAATATCTTTTAAAGTGCTTTAGAGGTATATATAGAAGTGAAATTTCACTTATGGTAAATAATAGTATTGTTTGTTTACAGTATTGGATTTTTAATTTTAATTATCAAAATTTAAATTTTGATTGCTTTAAGTATATAAAAAAATTCACTTATGATGATATGCCACTAAAACATCACATCACCACCTTATAAAATTACATCATCTCACGTTTCTTGTGTAATTTTCATTTTATGCTTGGCTCATTTTGTTTTTACGTAACCACGTGTGGTAAAAGGCATTGGGCCCATGCGGTGGCGGAGCAACCGATCAGAAAAACAAACTAAAAATTAAAAAATGAGAGATGATGCATATATAAATTGCAAAAGTGCAAAAATTGGACTTTCTGACGCGGGGCTGTGATTAAATCAAGTGGGGTCCGTCCTACTTCAATCAAGAAGGCTGTGAGACATCATTGGCCTTCCGTTCCGTTTGTGATGACGTGGCACAGTTTGGGTGGCTGAACTTGGCCGCAACCAATGGGGATGCGGCTTCCCTAATACACCTTGGGTCCCACTTAGATATCACAAAATATTTTCGTCATCATGGCTAATTCTTGCAGGTTTACTTCTATCCCCTGTAGAAGCGGAGGATTGTATACTTTTTCCCATCGTTTGAAGTGGGACCATGTGACCAGTCTCTATTGGTAATCAATCTCTTATTGTTTTTTGGAATGACCAAATCGACCTTCATTTCATCACCAAATTGGATACAGTATTCCACTATTTTGCCTTTAATTAATGTTCCATTCGAGTCTTAATCTCAAACAATAAAAGGACAAACATACAACAGTTGCTGTTGGACAAAAGAAATCACTTTCTTTTATAAAAGTGGCCGAAACTTGGAAAATAATAAAAGGGATTCCAGGTAAAGTTACTAATATCATATAAGATAATGTTTCAATTTTTTAAAAAGAAAATTATATATGTCGATAAAGGTTGGTTTGATATATTATTTTGAATATTTGTCTTAAATATCTTTGGGTGAAAATTTTATTTCCTTGGGAATGTGGGGGCAGTTCCGGAATGGAAAGTAGTACAAATATCTGAAGGGTATAATGTAGCAGCTGCCAGGAGTAGAGCATACTCAAGCCCAGAGTATGAATACAGATTGCTGTTTCGTGAAAGAGATATATAATCAATCATTTTCTGTAAAGAATTGTTGGAAATCACTAGGACACTCTACCAGCTTTGAAAATTAAAAGCCTCAATATTAAAATGAAAAATTAATTAAAAAGCTGGGCCTAAAGGATTCATGGCAAGCAAAGACCCTCTCAAAGTTCCAAAACTATAACCTTTTTCGTGTTATGTAAAGGCCAATTACCCATCCTAAATTCGAGTAAGTATATATATATATATATATATATATATATATATATGGTCCCATTTTCCATTGATGGTCTTCCAAGAAATTGGTATTGATTTACCCCTCAGTGTATACAAGGAGCTTAGATATTTTCAGACTACATTTTAGTATGGATCGATGGATATCTGTTTCCTTTATCATCAATAGGTTTTTCCCATTTTAAAGCATTTATTAATTCGTGAAGGCTGGTAGTTTGTATAGAACTATAGATGCAAATTGGACTGTTGGATATTTCATGGTTTTTTGGTCCTTGTAACAATGTAAAAGTAATGTTCATATATATATATATATATATATATTATAGTTAACTGTAAGACAAAGGGCTGCCCTTATTTCACCAATTATTGTATACCATTTTTGCATAGTTTGGATGATGTAAGATGAGATTTTTAACATTTTGGTTATGCACATAATTAAAAATTAAGATATATAATGAACACAATTTATTTAATTATCAAATGCATTGATTTTTATATTCTATATATTTTTGTCCACAGTCTTCCTCAGCAAACTGTGTGACTGTATGCAACTCTCGTTATCTTAACTTTTGTTTCATTTTTAGGGTTTTGGTAATCCTTTTATGTATTATATAAGAGAGCATTTATGTTTCTATTTTGAATTTATGATATTTTTATATTTAAAAGTTGTTTTTCTTTTCCAATATTTCACACTTGTATTCATATCAAAATATATCATCATTTCATCTAGAATTTGACTTTATTGAAATTATATAAAATGTAATGAAAATAAGGTTAAGAATATAACATAAATAATCTTAAAAAGTTCAACTTTTACAATTATCAAACAATATATTCATATTAAACAATTAATTTTCAGTAAGATATCAAATAGATTTTATAATTAAAATTCAATATGTGCGTTGTGATCTAAACATATTCATCATGACTAGGTCAGTAGGGGTAACCGGGTAGGATATGATTTGGTTTATTAATGGCAAATTTGAGTGGTTCACATTTTTTTTTTTTTAAGTGCATGTATTTTCCCAAATCTACTGTTAAAAATGAAAACCACACCTTACATTAATTCACTTCTATCTCAATTTATGAAAATATATATGAGTTTGAACTTAAATTTCTTTAAATTTTCTGCACTCACTGGGAAATACACGGTTCGCCTTAACGAGAATTCAATCATATTCCTCAAATGATATGATATGATGAGCATGTCTAATCAAGAAGATCGAGGCTCAAAATATATGTCACAAATGATTATTGGTAGTATTACGCAAATCTTACATAAACCTGACACCACAATATATTTTGGTTCATTGAATTTTTTATAAATTTAATAGACAAAAAATCAATTAAACGGAGTTTATGTATTTTTTTTTTTTTAATTATAAATTACTAACCAATAATTGTGTTTTCATAAAATCTAGTTGTTACTTAATATGCGCTAATTGGCTTTCATAGCTATAATGACAATGATATTTCAGTTATTCACACTTTTATTTTGCAAAATAAATCGTAACTCTTACCTAAAATTGAATAATAACTAAAACAAGGCAGGGTAAATATTTTATGATTACGTTTTGGTTTACCTGTCACCCTCCAAATAATAATGCCAATTATAACTATGATAAGACGAAAAAGATTGGAGAAGAATCGAAGGGGCCTGGTAAATAAGTGGAACCTGAATGATTAGATAGGATCGTTTCACAAGATAATAGGAGAATAATATTTACCTAATTCATAATAATATCATTTATAATTAATTACACCCAAAAGTGCAACTTTCTATAATCTTCTAACTTGCTTCTAATTCTCACCTTTATAAGCTAACACGTCCTTCTTCTTTTTTTTAAATATAAAAAATTTTAATTTAAAAATAAAAGAAGAGGTTTTAAAACTTTTAAAAGCTGACACACTTTTTTATTAAAAGATTAATAATTAATTAATTAATTAATTAATTAATTAAATGAAATATCATTGCAAAAGATTTGAAGAAGGCATAGTTTGATATAAGTTAATGGTAAACAGGACCTGTTTTGTTGTTAACAAGTTAAAATTATATAAGCCTAGCAAATTTAGTCCAATTGTTGTTCAAGTTGACATTTAAGCCCAAAAATCCTCTTACTGGGTTGAGCTATTAGATTTGATAGCCCACTTATATCTCAACTTAAAAATCTAACACAAAGCCCAACTTTCTTACCCAAATGGCAAAACTTCTTTTTTGCCCAATACAAATTAATGGGGCATTATTTCATTTTTGAAAAAACAGAAAAAAGAAAATAGGAAAAAGGGTTTTAAAAAAGATTGGCATTCTATTCATGATCCCTAGCTTGAGTTCATAATTCATTAAGATGATAATGAATTAATTTTGACATATTTATATGCGAGAGAAAAATCAATTTTTATTTCAAAAAAAAATTATTTAAATGTATATATTTTTTATTTGATACACTGTTAATATATAATGTTATTTATTATTAATACATTATAAATTATCACATTATTAATTAATAAATTTAAAATTTTAGAATTATTAAAAATAAATATTTTAAAATTTTAAAAATTAATTATATTAAAATAAATTAATGAGATGATAACTAATGATATACTGATAATATATATTATTTATATATTAATAGTGCATAAAATATATATTTTTAATGTAAGTAAAAAAATTTGTTTCAATTTAAAAATATAAATACATAAATATTTTTAATTTTATTTATATTATAATTTCATATAAATTTTTAATAAATTTATCAATTGATTTGATATTTAATTAACTCATCGCATCAATTTAATCATCTTTTTCAGTATAAGTATGTAAAGATAGTATAATTTCTTTATTGTTAAGATTCTAAAATTTGAAGTCTTCATTTCAGTTTTATTACATATGATTTAATTGTTTAATTATATTATAATTTATTAATTAATTATTAAATAATTGATTGATTGTAATTTGATTATGATATAATAAATGATTGTTCAGTTAATTATATGAATATAATATATTATTATAATTTACAATAGTAAAAAGTAAAAAAAATTTTTAATTCTTTAATTTATAAGAGAAATTAAAAAAAAAAAGAAATCATTATACTTCGTAGAACCCTGTCGAGGGTTTTAAACAAGCTGAGTGTTTTCAGGCAACAACTTCTTCTTTGCAATCTAATGGCGCCACCCACATTCAAATATTAGCTCTTTTAGTTCATCTAACCTAAGTTTTTTTTTTTTTTTTCAAAATTTTTGAATAATGCCTACCTTTCCTTCTTACTAATACTTTAAACAAAATTTTCATATCCATCTACTGTTTCTAAACATGGTAAAGAAGAGACTTCTTTCTGGGCGCTTCTTCTTCAAAACCCGAAGAGCAGTAACAACCTCAGCCGCTGTCCCGCTAGACCCTTCATACGCCACCACTTCTTCCATCCCCACCGATCATAATTCCCTTTGCCTCTTCTTCACTGAGCAACTCATTAACCGCGGCTTATTATCCTCTGCTCAGAGACTCGTTCAACGAATCGTTTCTCGGTCTTCTTCAGTCTCTGATGCATTATCAGCCGTTGATTTCGTCACTGCTCGTGGATTGGACCTTGATTTGTCATCATACGCTTCTCTTATTAAGAAGCTTGTGCAATTGGGGCATCACCAATTGGCCCACTCTCTTTTCTCCGATAACATTATTGGTAGAGGTATCAATCCTGACTCCTCCATTGTTAATTCTATGGTCATTTGTTTGTGTAAGTTGCGGAAGTTAGAGGAAGCCATAATTCTTTTTGATCGCCTTGTAATGGATGGTTCTTGTCAAAAACCTGCCTTTAGTGCTCTTGTAAGGCAGCTTTTCGCCCAAGAAAGATTTTTGGATGCGTTTGATTACTTTGTGACAATGAAAGATATTGGTTTTAATTTGGGTTACTGGTATTATAATGTGTTGACTGATGGACTATGTCATAAAGGGTACTTAGAAGAAGCAATTCAAATGTTTGATTTAATGCGTGAAAGAGCGGGATTGTTACCTACGCTTCATTTGTACAAGTCTTTGTTTTATGGTCTTTGCAAACAAGGGTGGGTCGTGGAGGCGGAATCGTTGTTTGGAGAAATTGAGTCACAGGGTTTCTTTGTGGATAAAATAATGTACACTTCGTTGATAAATGTATATTGTAAGGATAGGAAGATGAAAATGGCGATGAGAGTTTACTTGAGAATGCTAAAGACGGGTTGTAAGCCAGATAGTTATACGTATAACACGTTGATCCATGGGTTTGTTAAGATGGGATTGTTTGATCAGGGCTGGGTGTTATACAACCAGATGATGGAGCAGGGACTGCAGCCTGATGTGGTGACTTATCATGTTATGATGAGCAATTATTGCAGGGAAGGGAAGGTAGATTGTGCTTCTATGCTTCTGAATAACATGGTTAGCAACAATTTAGCTCCTAATGCCCACTGTTACACAGTTTTAATCACCTCCTTTTATAAGGAGAATAGATTAATGGAAGCAGAAGAACTGTATAAAAGCATGCTGACTAGTGGGCTTGTTCCAGACCATATTCTGTTCTTCAAACTTATGAATATGTACCCTAAGGGGCATGAGCTTCATGTTGCTCTTATGATTATGAAGGCAATAGCTGTTAATGGGTGTGGGTTTGATCCATTATCACTTCCAGTTTCTGTTACCAAAGATTTGGTGCAAAGATTTGAGCTTTTGATTGGGGAGATTGTGAAAAGCAACTTGAGTCTAGCCAATGTTGCATTCACTATACTTATCAGTGCCTTGTGTGAGGGACGGAAATTGGATATTGCTTTGTATTTCATGGATAAAATGGTGAATCTAGGATGCACGCCTCCGATTTTCACTTACAACTCCTTGATGAAGTATCTTGCCCAGGAGAGTCTTTTTGAGGATGCTAAATCCCTACTTGATCTCATGCAAGATCAAGGTATCTTTCCAGACCAAGCAACTTATTTGATAATAATAAATGAACACTGTAAACATGGGGATCTGGCTTCGGCTTTTGATATCCTGGATCAAATGGAGGACAGGGGAATGAAACCTGGTGTTGCTATTTATGATTGCATAATAGGTTCTCTATGCCGGCAAAAGAGGATGGTTGAAGCCGAATATATGTTCATAAGGATACTCGAGTCTGGGGTGGATCCTGATGAGATTGTTTATATGACAATGATCAATGGCTATTTAAAGAAGGGAAGAGTCATTGAAGCCCGTCAACTATTTGAGAAAATGATAGAGGATGCTATTAGGCCAACTTCTTATTCTTACACTGCTCTGATTAGTGGACTAGTGAGGAAAGACATGACTGATAAGGGATGTATGTATCTTGATAGGATGCTGGGTGATGGTCTTGTGCCAAATGCTGTACTGTATACCTCTCTCATCAATAATTTCTTGCAGAAGGGAGAGTTTGAATTTGCCTTTAGATTAGTTGATTTGATGGACAGAAACCAGATTGAGCGTGACCTGATCAGTTATGTTGCACTGGTCAGTGGTTTTTGCGGAAACATCAGTAGCAGGAAACGATGGTGCGCTACAGAGAGAGGGTCTGAAAGAGCAAGAGAAACATTGTTCCAACTGCTCCATCGTCGATCTCTCCTGCCAAGAGAAAAGAATTTAAAAGCTTCTGATAGTTCTCCAGAAGCAATGAAATGCTTTGCATTGAAGCTCATACATAAGGTTAAACAAACAAGCTTTATGCCAAATTTGTACCTTTACAATGGCATAATTTCTGGATTTCTTGAGGCAGATAGGATGCAGGATGCATATGATCATTTTGAATTGATGCAAAAAGATGGTGTCCGTCCCAATCAAGTGACTTTTACTATACTTATGGGTGGATATATTAAAGCTGGTCAAATTGATCATGCCATAGGCTTATTTAATAAAATGAATGCAGATGGTTGCACTCCAGATAGGATTGTGTACAACACTTTAGTAAAAGGCCTTTGCCAGGCTGGTAGATTACTTGAAGCATTGTCACTTTTGCATGTGATGCACAAGAGGGGGTTAATTCCTAGTAAGGCTATTTATGAAAATTTACTTGGACATTTTTGTGCTAATTATTTGAGCATTCCTGCATTCAAGATATTTAAAGAGATGCTCGCGTATAATCAAGGGCCACGACAGTATTGTCATAACTGGTTGCTTTGCATCTTATGTGAACAAAAGAAATTGCGGGAGGCCTATATAGTATTTGATACAATGATTCAAAGGGGCAAGTATCCTTATAAATCAACAGAAAAGCTCTTGGTTGAAACATTTAGCAAACAATGAGAAAGCGACTCTGTTATCATGATTCAAGATGATATCTCCCAGTAATTTACAGCCAGTAAGCAAATCTTTTTGCTTAAATTTTTATTTTACTTTTCCCCATGGTTCTCCTCTATTCTGTTATTTTATTTGAAATGTAGCTAAATGAACTTCAGGTGATGGGAAGGTTGGATATTAAATTATTAATCCTCCACTTCTACTGGCTTCTGGAACAAAGAGGTTAATTTGTTGGTGACAACAACCGGGTAGGTTTTGCTTCTGGCCAAAATAAATGTAGTTTGCTATCTGCAGCTTGGACAAAAAATTTCATAAAAAAGAAACATTTTTAATATGTAATAATACAAAACTTGGAGTTCTTGCATGTTAAAGGTAACATGTTTGGAAAGGCAAAGGCCTTAGGTTAGCTTATTCCATGATTTCACTTTGATCTAGCTGCGTGATTCTGTGTTAGTACCTAATGACTTTTTCAAATAGTATGCTTAATTCTGAGCCCTTTAGTAAGAAACTTTGTTGTTGAATAGCAGTCTAAGCAAATGCTTGTGAATGTTTCATTCAAGGTTTCATTATTACTTATTGCTCTGATTCCATTCTCTTTTTCTGTAGTTAAAGATTGCATGGTTCTGTGCCAGTAGAGTAACATTGAAGGTGCATTAGAAGGTGTTAGTTCATGGAGGACGGAGTGTTGCACTAGGTGAATAATCTTATTTTGCATATTGCTTTTATATTTTCTCTAATGTTTTCAAATGCTTGTAGAAATACTATCTATATACGTCTCTATTCTTTCTTGAATACTTGACAATTTTCTTTGTGCTTGCAGCCTTGAAATCAAGGGGGAAAGTTTTAAATTTTAATGAAAGACATCAAAGTTTGTATTTTGTTATTATGATTTTTCCAGATTCTTCAGATTGTGTACTGTAGAACTTAAGGTAATCCAACATGGATATTGTATTTAAAATATTAAGGATTTTGTTCTCTTGTCTAGAATGCTTAACTTAGTGAAATATTTGCTGATGGCAGGGTTAAAGGGCATACAAACTTTCCAATTGTTACAACTGCTTTTGTGGCCCACCTTAAAGTAGAAGCTGATATAACATTAAGAGCTTAAGAACATCTATTTTACTGGCCGTGAAGAATCACAAGCGTTTCTTATTGGTGGCAAAAATAAGATGCAGAGTGCTGGTGTCATATATTTTGTGATGAAATGCTCTTTTAAGCCGCAGGCTTTGCACTCTGGAAGGGTGTAGATTTTCAGCACAGCAAGTGGATGTTGGCCATAGATGGTTATGATGTGAAAGAATGCTGAAAACAAGTGCTGTGCTGTGCTTTGGGTAATTTAACATTATTTACTTTTGGGAGGCAGGCAGATGGTTGTTGATTTACAAGCTTCACATTTACAGTGTTTTAATGACGGAAGAAGGGATGTACCAAGGAGATAATTGTTAGTTGTACTTTGTATAGAATAGATGAATCTTCCCTGCAAATTTCAGGGTTATACATAAAAGGCGAAGGGTAGCTTTCTTCTCTGCTTCTACCTTTTTCATTTGCTTAGCCAGAATTTTTGTTGATTAGTGGCATCATGTATATGTGTAATTTGTCCCCCTTTTCCCAGTTCAAAGGAACAATAGATATTGAATTGAGTTGTATCATATGTAGTCATTAGTAACTCTAATTGAATTTTGAATAATGAAATTCCTACTGTCGCTAATTCCCTTTGGCTCGCCTTAATAAAAGGGATCTTAAAGATTTATATATGGGGCAGAAAAATATTACATTAGGTAATTATATATGACACTGAGGAATTCCTTGACGCAAGCACGAGGATTAATTCCCAATATTACAAAGATATGGCAGCAATGAAAGAACAAAACAGTGTTTAAAACAAATTGAAATGAGTGATGCAATGAGATAAAACTCAAAGGCGAGGATCGAATGGTACCCCTGTGTTTGGCAACCATGATCTTCCAGCAATGAAGTTAGCCACTGTGAACTTTGATGCTTCAGTAGCACTGGTTATAACTCGATAGCCCTTCCATTTCACCCTTCCGCTCGTCGAAGTAGCTGGGCCAATATTTTTGTACTCTCCATAATACAAGGTATTTACAGCAAAGTCACCATCCCATTCGAACCAGCCAGCTGGATCCACCAAGGAATCAAGATAAGTTTGCATGAATACAGTACGTGAGTACTCCTTCCAAGGCCGTCCTATGAACGTTTTGAATGAACTAAGCACTGGAGTAAGGTCAGCAGCTGCCATTACCCGTGAATTATGGATTGAAATGCCAGTATTTTGGTTAGGGTCGGTCTGGCCTTGGGCAGTTACCGTAATCTTCTGCTTATCCATTGGCCTCCTTGCATAAATTATGCAGTTTTGCAAAACCATAGCTGCATTTCCGAAGATGAAGTCTACGGTGCCATATATGCAGCATTCTTTGTAGAACTGTCGTTGGGAATGGACGTAGAGCGTGTCTTGAAATCCCTCGAATCTGCAGCGGTAGAAGACGGAGAGATCAGAGCCTGATCTCAGGGCCACTGCTTGATGGTACTGTGGACCTGCGGTGTTGCGGAATGTTATGCCACGGGCAGTGAACCCTTCTCCAGTCACCGCTGAAAATCGTAACAGTAATTCCAAGAATTAGTTATGAACTTATCAGAACATGATAAAAATATTAAGAAAAATAATCAATGTAAAACTGAGCTCTTTCATTTCTTTGCATTTCAATTAATTAGCATCTTATTATATATTATATGATTTATTGAAGGATTTAGAGCAGAGGAAGAACAAACAAAGACAGCAGAAACTAATCTGTCACTTGAAGTAAATTGACTCATTTGGTCATGAGCTTCATTTCATTAATTTATAGGCTTGAAAAATACAAAAGTTGTTGGCCTAACAGCATGGGTCACCATGCACAGACCCATCATTTTACCTAAACTAATCTGCTGCCAGAAAGTTTCAGCAGAAATGCCATACTAACTTGCTTCAACCACTAACACACTAACATGCTTCAGTACTAGCATGCTTCAACCACTAACACTCCTCCTTAGTATTTCTGCTGGAAACACCGAGACCTTTCCTTAATGTTTCAAACCTTGCCTTTGGTAAGGCTTTGGTCAGAATATCTGCAATCTGATCTTCTGACTTGCAATGCACCAGTTTCACTTTATTCTCAGCTTCAACTTCTCTAATAAAGTGATACTTGATCTTAATATGCTTAGTTCTTCCATGAAACATAGGGTTCTTGACCATTGCAACTGCTGACTGATTATCACAAAAAATTTCTGTTGGATCATCTTGCTTTTGACTCAAATCCAACAGAATTTTCCTTAGCCAAATTGCTTGATTAACAGCAGCTGCAGCAGCTATATATACTCTGCTTCTGCTGTTGATTGAGCCACTGTTCCTTGTTTCTTTGAATTCCAGCTGAACACATTTAATCCAATGAAAAACACATAGCCTGAAGTGCTTTTCATGTCTTCATGAGAGCCAGCCCAATCATTGTCTGTGAATCCTACCAATCTTGAACTGTCATTCTTCTTGAACTAAATTCCAAGTTCATTGGTTCCTTTGACATATCTCAACACTCTTTTTGCAGCCTTAAAATGCAACTCACTAGGATTTTGCATGAACCTAGAGAGTAAATTTGCAGCATACATGATGTCTGGCCTGGTTGCTGTCAAATACAATAAGCAACCAACCAAGCTTCTATAAATAGAGCCATCAACTTTGTTAGCTCCATCTTTCTTAACAAGTTTCTCATTTTGAGCCAAAGGAGTGTTGACTGGTTTACAATTTTCCATCCCAAACTTATTCAGGATTTCATTTGCATATTTTTTTTGACAAATGAAGATTCCTTGCTGGTTTTGATGAATCTCCATTCCAAGAAAATAAGACATTTCTCCCATGTGTGTCATCTCAAAAATTTCTTGCATTTGGAGCTTAAAATCTTCCACAAGAGCTGATTTGCTACCTGTCACCAAAAGATCATCAACATACAAAGAAACAATCAACAGATCATTACTGTTAAAAATTTTAATGTACAATGTTGCTTCACTGAGGCTTTTCTTGAATCCTAACTTCAGTAAATGATCATCAATTCTGGAATTCCACACTCTGAGAGCTTGTTTTAATCCATACAAAGCCTTCTTGAATAGATAGACTTTGCCTTCATGTCCCTTGGCAACAAAACCATCAGGTTGTTCAATGTAGATCTCCTCCTCAAGATAACCATTCAAGAAGGCAGATTTGACATCAAGTTGGTATATTTTCCAACTTTGTTGAGTTGCTAAGGCTAATAACAGCCTTATAGTGTCCAACCTTGCAACTGGAGTAAATGTCTCTGAAAAATCAACATCAAGCTGTTGGGAGTAGCCTTTAGCTACCAATCTAGCTTTAAGTTTGTTGATGGAACCATTAGCATTCAACTTTGTTCTGAAAATCCATTTGACACCAATGATGTTTTTGTTACTTGGTCTGTCAACCAGCATCCATGTTTGATTTTTCTCAATCATTTGAATCTCCTCCTTCATGGCATTTCTCCACTCTGAAAATTTGACAGCTTCTTCAAAGCTTGCAGGTTCAAGAATGGTAACATTTGATCTTTGATAAATATTTGTGAGTGGTCTGATTCCTCTTACTGGTTCATGATCAATGATTTCATTTTCAAACATATAATCTTCTTGATCTTGGAAGCTTATCATGTCAGCAGCAATTTGCTTGACTGATTCTCCCTTTGATTTTTCCCAATTCCAGGCAACTTGCTCATTAAATCTCACATTCCTACTTACAATCATCTTGCCTGTAAGTGGATTGTAAGTTCTATAGCCTTTGGTGATGTTGCTATAGCCCAGAAAAATACAGATTTTTGCTTTTTGATCAAGCTTGTCTCTTTTGATATCAGGAACGAACACATAACAGATGCTGCCAAAAATTCTGAGGTGGTGCACTGATGGTTTGCTTCCATTCCAGGCTTCAAAAGGAGTGTTTCCCTTCAAAGCTTTTGTGGGTAGCCTGTTGAGCAAGTAGACAGAGGTATTGACTGCCTCTGCCCAAAATTTCTTTGAAAGATTCTTCTCAAACAGCATGCATCTTGCCATCTCCATGATTGTTCTATTCTTCCTTTCACTGACTCCATTTTGTTGTGGAGTGTAAGTTGCTGTCAGTTGGTGTTCAATTCCTGCAACTTCACAAAACTCATTAAATCCGTCTGATGTGTATTCAGTACAATTGTCTGACCTTATGATCTTGATTTTGCAGCCACTTTGATTCTCAATCCAAGCCTTGAACTTCCAAAATACATTTGCAACTTCAGACTTTTGTTTCATGAAGTAAATCCAACACATTCTAGTAAAGTCATCTATAAAAGCAATGAAATATCTACTGCCATTCAAGGACAAGGTTCTCATAGGACCACAAACATCAGTATGAACAAGTTGTAATCTTTTAGTTGCCCTCCATGCTTTATTAATTGCAAATGGCAACTTACTTTGTTTTCCTAGTTGACAGACTTCACACACTCCAGCACTGACTTCAACAGTAGGCATGTTTAATACAAGATCATTTTTATGCATGAAATTCAATGCATTGTAGTTGAAATGTCCCATCCTTTTATGCCATAAAGAAGATTCATCATGTGAAGTAGCATATGCAGAGGAGTTTGCTTCATGCCAATTCAAGGAAAAACATTTTCCTTTCATATTAACAGTAAAGAGTTCATGGCCAGTGGGATCATGAATTATGCATGCCTTGTCTTTGAAGACTAAAGAGTAGTTATTTTCTAGCAACTGTCCTACACTTAACAGGTTTTGATCTATTTTGGGCATAAATAACACATCTGAAATGAGTTTGGTACCTGTTGGTGTCTCAACTGCCACTACTCCTTTTCCTTTGACTTCTATGAAATCACCATTACCTATTCTGACTTTAGAGGTGCAGGTCTTGTCTAGTTCTTTGAATATGTTGATATCAGATGCCATATGGTGTGTGCAGCCACTGTCAATGAGCCATGCACTGGAGGAGGTTCTGGTTCCATAGCAAGTTGTAACAAAAACTTGCTCTTCTAGCTGTTGTTGATTGTCAGCAACTCTGGCTTGTTGATCTGGCTGCTGCTATTTTTTGCTTTTACATACCTTCTCCATGTGACCAAGCTGCTTACAGTACCTACATTGTATGTTAGGTCTGTACCAGCAATATTTTTCCAAGTGAGTAGTCTTTTTGCAGTGAGAGCATGGTGGAAATTTTCCTTTCTTTTCACTTTTCTAGAACCTTGGTTTCTTTGGTCTCCTTGTTTTATGCCTTTGCTTTCTGTTTGCATCTTGCCTTTCTCCTTGGCTGTAAAAGCACCTTCTGTTGAATTCTCTTGTCTAATAGCCCTTCTTTGCTCTTGAGCTTGTAGAACATTGAACAATTCTGCTGGAGTTATCTTGGTCAGGTTCTTAGAGTCTTCAAGGGATGAGATTTTTGACTCAAACCTCTCTGGTAAGCTGACAAGAACCTTCTCTACAATTTTTTTGTCTGACAGCTCCTCACCAAGTAATCTAATCTTGTTTACTATCTTCATGAGTCTGTCATTGTACTCCTTTAAATTTTCAGACTCCTTCATCTTTAAGACTTCAAACTCTCTTCTAAGATTCAACACTTGCATTTGTCTTGTCTTGTCACTGCCTTGAAACTCTTCCTTGAGCACATCCCAAGCTTGTTTTGCAGTTTCACAAGTCATGATTCTAATGAATATGTCATCAGAAACTGAAGACTCAATACAACTTTTAGCCTTATACCTCTTTGCCTTTTCTTCACTATAATTTTTCATTTGAGTTACTGTTGGATTTGCAGGAAGTTATGGTGGTTCCTTCTCATTTTTCACCACTTCTCACAAATCAAAAGCACTCAAATAAGTCTTCATTTTGAAAGCCCATATCTGGTAGTTCTCACCAGAAAAAATAGGAGGTGGAGGTAAGGAGCAATTGCTTGAGGCCATTTAAGGTTGACAAAGGCTGGTTGGAAAGTGTTTGATGGCTTTTCACTCAATTTTTGGAACTCACAGATCCTCTAAGAACTTAAAGAATGCTCTGATACCAATTGAAGGATTTAGAGCAGAGGAAGAACAAACAAAGACAGCAGAAACTAATCTGTCACTTGAAGTAAATTGGCTCATTTGGTCATGAGCTTCATTTCATTAATTTATAGGCTTGAAAAATACAAAAGTTGTTGGCCTAACAGCATGGGTCACCATGCACAGACCCATCATTTTACCTAAACTAATCTGCTGCCAGAAAGTTTCAGCAGAAATGCCATACTAACTTGCTTCAACCACTAACACACTAACATGCTTCAGTACTAGCATGCTTCAACCACTAACATTTATTCATCAATGTTGGCATCCGCTCAGAATTCAATTAAAGTTGATAGGCGGCCTAAGATATCGTTAAAGTCTATTACAAGATATTGATAATAACTAGAAATTAATAGGAGGGGGGGCATATGCTAGGAATCATGTGAGCTTTAATTAGGCAGAAATTAAGATAAAGCAGCGAATAAAAAAGACTGTTCTTACCAACAGTTGCAGAGTTGAAAGTGGTGGAACCATCTCCAACACTCCTGCTGCCAATGAAAATGGTGTTCCTCAACCCATCTCCAACCAACATAATATTCTTCAGCTTGTTGCCAATCTCAAGCTTTTCCTTGTAAGTCCCACTCTTCACACGTATCACAAATCTCCCATTTCCATTCCTTTTTGAAGCGGCATCAAGCGCTTCCTTGATAGTCCTATGGTTCCCTGACCTATCTTGAGCTACTACAAGGTTTTGTGTTAGCGAAGACGATTGCAAGAGCTTTCTGTCACCGGCCTTGAGCCAGCTAAGAAAACCGTGTTTATGTGTTTGCGGCACAAATGAAATATTATTGTTCAAAGCCAAAGTATTGCTTATTAGCTTCGAGACATTGTTCGACATAATGAGGGGCAACATATAATTAGAAGCTCCTAGCTCCACTAAGCCTGCCCAACAGGTTTCAAGATTGGTCAGGGCAGTACTTAACCAGGTTTGCACGTCGAAATCGATGCATTTTGTGGAGTCTAAGGATTTTTCGAGCTGAAGAATGATTTGTTGATAGAGTTTCAAGCAATCAGCCCGTGCAGGCTTCTCCTTGTCATTTCGACATTTCTTCCAAAGCTACTTGTTGCGACTCCGAGCACTAAGTGCACGTTCCAAAGCTATTTGGACTGCCATTTGCGGAACTCAGATTTTTGTCTAGGCACGTAGCCTTTGGGTTTCTGGCGCATGAAATACTTACAAGGTTGAGGGTTTGGGGTTTTGTCGCACCAATAGTCTATTCCATTGTTGATTACAGAAGAAAGGGTTGGGGAAACCAATGAAAAGGACATGACTAACACAAATAAAACAAGCTTAGTCGCCATCGATCGATTGATGGGACTATATTCGAACTCTATTTTCTCTACAGGTTGCAATTATATGTCATGATCTTGCAAGAATCTTGTTTATATAGGACAAAGAAGACTGCCTGGGGGCGCTTTCAAAGGGTAGCATAAGTTTGAACATTTGAAAATGACAGTAATCAAATAGCATACCAAGCTAGTAATAAAATCATGATTCAAACTATATATCTAAATTGTTCTCTTATTGTTTTTGAATGATATCTTGTTCTCTAATTACTTAATGCAATATTCCTTTCCTAGTAACACCGATTTTTCATCAGTTTTTGGCCACACAGCATTATTCCTCTCCTCTCCAGTTAAATTTAAAGCAACTACGGGTCATTTTTCTAGTTGTAATATTGTTATCATTTTTTTTGGAAGCTAGTATAAATGATAGAAGAATAAAAATAAAATTAATTGTTTCATGATTGATCATAATCTTCATCGTTATATTAATTTTCTTGAGAGTTCTTTACTTTAATCTATTATCATCAAAGTATTAACATAAACACTTATAATTAGCACTATTTTCCTTTTCATTGATATGTTAATATATGATATAAATGTTAGTGTTTCAGCTCTCCACTGGCATCCGAGTTGAATTTTGAATTGTTCACGTATTCCTCTAATTAAGCTGGTGTTTGACACTTAAATTAACAGCATGAAACTTCCCTGCTGCCTATGGGATCTTAGAAAAAAATGAGCTGCCAGTAGTACTCTCCTCTTCATGGATGATGGATGAATGGAATTAGTGATTTAGCTGGCATTGGATGTTTGGACTTTGATCATGTTTCTGACTTTGAATTGTGGCAGGGCATGCAGCAGCAAAACGAGTGAGTTCAACTGGTTTGATTCTTTCAATAATTGAAATATAAATATAATATTGCAAAGTTGACATAAAAGGATTGATCAACCATATTCTTTGTATCGTATATGGTTAATTTCTCAATGGGTGGACGCCACACGAGAGCCAAGCAAACCTCCATCACTGACATTTGTACACAGTCCACAAAAACCGAAGCTATAAATATTTTCAATCTCAACAGTACTACACCAATACATTTGAAAATCAAACAATTATAGCTGGAAGCAATTGTTACCCTCTAGAATGTCAAATGTAATCATTCCATGCCTTGCTAATCAAAATGCAAAGCACTCAGCACTATTTTCTTTTGGTCTTGACTTTCCACTAAAATTCATTGGTTTTTTAACGACAAACACGTTATATATCTATCTTTATCAATATCTATTATTGAAATTCTCTTGCAAACAGAGAATTGCTTAATTTCAGCCAAATTTGTTTCTTTTAGTGCAATAATTAAGCATTTTTATTTGGCATTTATTTTAAAATTCTAATTAGACAATAATTTACTATAGGTAGGCGATATTACTGCTGGTTTGACCTAAACATCCAATTAGTATTAGTCCATTCAAATATAATGAACTAAAATTGGATGTGGCAATGAATGATAGTTTTATACTTGAAAAGAAAAATAATTACTACTAGAGTTCTTTTAAATTATATAATGTTTATCCTAACAACTCTCTATCCACCAATCATCTTTGCAAATTATGAATGTGAGGTTGTGATTGGGACTGTTCAGATGGGGCATAGGCCATTGGGCAAGCTTGAATCGGAGCTTGCAAAATGGGTGGGTAGTTTTTTTGTGGTACACAAAACCCATATCTTTTTTATGGAGTTTTAGGCTGCTCTGTAATTGGATTCACCGACCCTGATTTTCTGGGTTTCTTGGGCTCTTTCCTGTGTTAGCATCTTCACTGGCTCCCAGCTTTCAGGCTCAGCCGCCTTCTTGGGCTTTTTTCTACTCGTATGTTTTACCCAAATTTTGGTCTAGACAAAATCCTCCACCTTATCTCAGATTATATTGATTAGAGAGTTACAAATTCTGTACCAAATTTCTACTGGTGCTATTTAATTTCCAAATTCATATGTTAATATATTATAGTATCAAACAAAAAAAATTCAAATACATATTATTGACATAATTAGGAATGTTTTCACAATGAACAAAAATTAAATAAAAAATAAATATAATGAATAATGATAGTTCTGCCCTGAACATGTATAGGACATCTTTAGAGGCCAGAAGTGAATGGCACACCGGTTGCCGGCAGCCATGACCTGCCAGCAATAAGGCTATTAACAGTGAAAAGTGATGCTACACTCGGGCTAGTTATTACATGAAAACCGCGCCATTTGACCCTCCATTTAGTTGAAGAAGCTGGTCCATAATTCTTGTACTCCCCATAATACAATGTGTCAAGAGCAAAGTTGGAATTGCCCCATTTCGACCATCCTTCAGGACTAACTAAGCTGTCGAGATAAGTTGTGAGGACAACTGTTCGAGAATACTTCTGCCAAGGCCTCCCTAAGTATGTGCTAAATGCACGAACCACTGGCTTAAGATCATTTGCAGCTAAAATTCTTGAATTATGGATTGCAATTCCAGTGTTCTGGTAAGGGTCATCACGGCCTTGTGCAGTGATCATGTTTGCCTGTCCCTTTAAGGGTCTTCTAACAAAAATTGAGCAGTTTTGTAAGACTACTGCTGCATTGCCAAATATGATGTCTATTGTGCCATAGATGTAACATTCTCTGTAGAATTGCCGCTGTGAATGTACCATAAGGGTGTCTTGATATCCCTGGATGGCACATCTGTAGAACACCGAGAGATCCGATGCTGAGCGGAGGGCAACTGCTTGGCCTTTTGTTGGACCTGCTGCGTTGCTGAATGTTATGTCCCGAGCAATGAAGCCAGGGCCATCAATGCCTACAGTCAGGTACTAAATGGTTAGTCATAAAAAGGTTGAGACCCTGGAAAGTCTGGGGTTGAAATTTGCCCCAGGAGAGTTCCAGGATTTGGCCTCCTGCCTGTGTGCGTGTGATTGCATTATAATTACTTACAATTATGATTATTAGTAGTACTGCTCAAATACAAAAGAGAGGGAGAAAATTTTTCTTACCAACAGTAGCGGAGCTGTAGGTTGTGTAACCTGTTTTAACACTCCTGCTGCTCGTGATTATGGTACGTTTCATGCCATCACCAACCAGCATAATGTTAGAGTTAGTGTTGGAAACCTCAATATTCTCCCTATAAACACCTCTTTTGACATATATAATAAACCTGCTAGTCCTTTTTCTCTTTGCAGCAGCATCTATTGCAGCTTGAACTGTCCTAAAATTTCCCGAACCATCCTTTGCCACCACAAGATGTGCCTTCACTTTTGTCGATGAAGATAGCAGAAGCCGCCTTTCGTTCCTTGAAAGCCAACCAGGAAAGACTTCTGTAAGATTTCTCTTATGCAAGAAAACCCCATTAACAGCTAAGCTATTACTAATCAGCTCGGATATGTTATTGGATGTCACAGGTGTGAAAAAATCAGAAACATTGAAATCCGTGAACCCTGCTTCGCATGTTCGGAGATTGGTCAGGGCTGTGCTAAGCCAAGTTTGTGCATCGAAATCACTGCAGCTCATCCTCCTCCTGCTCTCTAGGCCTCGTAGAGTAAGGTTGAGTTGAAGAATGGTATTATCGAAGAGCTTGAGACAATCTCTCCATGCCGCCTTCTGTTGCCAGTTCTCACAACTCTGTCCAAACTCCAGGACATTCTTTCCGGCCATGATGGCTCGATCCAAGGCCAGTCGAACCATTATCTGCCGAAATTCAGTTATGCGTTTGGGAGCAAAACGGTGGGAACCGTGGTCCATGAAATATTTGCATGGTTCAGGATGAGGCGTTTTGTTACACCACCATGTTATATCGCTCCGAGTATTCCCAGAGAGCGCGGCCGATAAAATTGAAGAGAACGATATGAAAAAGATTAACAATATCTTAACCTCCATGGCCAATGCTGAACGTGCCTTTTCTTTCTTTGATTTGGTGATTGAGTATTAAAGGGTCATATCCTTCGGAAGTATGGGTAAGGGGTATCTTTATGTAGGAGAATGGACATGAGCTGATAGACTGGATTGTTTGCAAAACAGAGAATGACATAATAATTGCAAATGCAAGATACAAAAGAAGATGTACTAACGTTTTCTTTGCTTGCTAATTATGCAGTATTATTAAATCATGACATTATATTATCATTCTTTACGTAAACAGGAAATAACACATTAGTATTGGTGACCAAGGAAACCATAGAATCAAAGTTTTTGTAGGAAAAATTAAACCTTGAATTGTGAAAAGAAAAAGGAGTTGCGTGGACTTTCTAGTTTGCCATGCCAGATTATTTTTGAGGTCGGTGATAACAAAAATGATTGTATAACACTTTGACCTGTGACAATGTCATATGAGATTGCTTCAATTCGTCACTCAGCTTGCTTAGTGTCACCTTTAAGGACCATTTCAAAGATTTTGCTCTTCTTTGTTTCCCTTTGTTCAATTTGTCCTACTCTGACATGGCAAAAGAAACTCATGCTGTATTTAATTTCCTTGCCAACTAACGAATGACTACTGTCAAGTAATTAGCTGCAAACTGCAAATCATAGCTGTTAAGCAAATGGTTGAGTGGACTTCAGATATTTAGAAAATGTTCCTTACACAAAGAGATACGAATTAGTTATCTTTTATGTGTCTTTGTTAAGTCTATTAAGCTCATGTAAATTGGAAGCAACAGTGCCTTGAAAGGAATTAACCATTATTCTACTTTCACTCGCGTCCACACAACCACAAAAGTTGGCGGCACCATGTGCTTTGTAAAATTGTAGGTTAAGCAAACTGTTCACTTTACAATTCAATCTAAGAAATTTCGAAGAAAACTACCAAGGCAGGAAGGATATAGGTATATTTCAATTAGTTTTAATTTTGAATGAGCAATTGTTCCAGTATCAAAAGTTTAGATCGATCCATGGGAAGGACTAATGTCAAAACTCAAAGTCTGAGAAGTATTTTTGATCATGCAAATAAGTATTTTTCAGTGAAGCAAACAGGGAAACATGTGCTAACATGTAATTACATTTTAGAATATACTACTACTATAGAAAAGGTTCTTCAATGAGATATATTTTGTACTTGCTAGGTACATGGACATCATCTTTGGTTTTTGAAATGTCTCGTAAATTTGTCTTATCTATTGATATTTAAACATGAAATGCTTTACAATATTCAATCAAATACCCTAAACCTCAAAAACAAATTCAATTTAAGTTCAAATTTCATGTTTCCTAACCAATTATATATATATATAAAGAGGATTTTAATAGAATTGACGCATTAAATTTATTTTTATTTTATTATGTAATTTTTGAATAATGTATGATTATTCAATTTTATAAAGCTAGAAACTCATGAGTGGTGGGTTGGGGCACCATTTGATGTGAAATGGGCGTGGAGTTGACCAAGCTTTTGCATCATATGCTGTAAGCCTGTTCTAATTGTGTAACGCTAGAGCCCACATCTTCAGGGTAAAATGTTTTAGAAGCTCAAGTTGTTATGGGTCAATCTTCTCCCTTGACTTCAATTAGGAGAATTGAATAAAATGAAAAAGAAAGGCCTACTTTTGTGGCTAAAGAAAGCAGAAGTAAGTTGAAGGTAAGTGTATTTTTTGTTTGAACAGTGCCTTTGGAGGAATAAAGGAAATGCATGGTTCATTACAAAGTGTGATGATTTTGTCATCCCTGATCTTTAGTTTTGCCTTTTTTCATAGCCATAGATAATTATTGGCATACATTCATATGTCTTTTATAATTCCCTATTACCGGAATTATGTTTTAGCAAACATTCAAAACTTGGAGAATGTGTTGTAGCTTTGAGGAATTCGGATGGGATATCAAGGAAGCTGGAATCAGTGTACTTGTTTCCAGGTTAAGTACAATTTATTGACTTTTCTTTTTCATATTTTAAAAAAGTCTGAAATCTTTGAAATCAGTCTAATAATTTTCTGGTGGCAGTTGATTAAGAGTCAATCTCCATATCCTAATCCTTTCGTTACCAATGCCGATAAGTTTGTATTTTCTGAGTCAATCTCCCACTCACCAGCTAGTTAATTTTCTCCATATCGTTGGGAGGACGGATCTAAATACCCAATGACTAATGGGTAATGTCGATGGTCACTTTCCTGAGGATGGGAGGAATGCTTCAGAATTAGAGCCCACCACGCACAGCCTTTTCTCGGGCTTGGCTTGGGTTTATATATTCAGATATTAAAATTTTATCCAAAAAAAAAAAAAAACGAAATATTATAATTATGCAATTCGGATTGTATTTTGAGAAATATTATAATTTTGACTGAATTAACAATGATGACTATAGGTAATTAGCCAGTTTTTTTTGAACAATTCATTTATAAATGTCTACAAATTTTATTTTTTTTTAGATTTTTGAGTCTTAATATAGAAAATGGCAAAAATAATGAGATAATAAAAGAAGAAAATTACATAGATCAATATATATTATCTGATGAATAAAAACCAAAAAATTATAGTAGTCGCTATCTCATGACCAGTTAGGTACGAGGTGACCAACAATGGCTAGGAAGTGGAAAGTGAATACTTGAATAGTTATATTTTATAGAATACAATCACGACAAGATTGAAACAAAAGTGCCCCAACACATGAAATAGAAACCACATATCTATGTATATGTAACCGTCAACATTAACATTAATATATACATATACATATACATACATAATAAATCCTCTACTGCAGAATAGGCTTCATCAATTTGATAACTCTTCAACCAGAGTCGTACACTTCTACTATGATTTTACAGAAAGCAACGTACTATAATATAATCTGTACAGATTACAGACAATTACGAACTCTCAAAATTTAGATCACTCCCACACTATATATCTTTAAATATCAGGCGCCACATAAATTCTACTATGTGACAACAAGGTCACGTATATCCCTGCTTTAAAACCACATCTATGACTAGGCTTGCTTATATATATTTTACGCATACAGGAAATTAGTACATCGTTTCTGAAATCAATATAGTAGTATACGTATACGCTTTTCCCTGTTCTTGGTTAAGCTAACCATGAAGAGAAGCATAGTTGTTGACCAAAGCCAAGGCATTGCTTGTCAAATGAGCGATTGTTACAATCTTGGTTCTCACAGCAGTCTTCACATTCCCGTTCATGTTTTTCCCTCCAAACCCATCACTGCAGGTGCTCTCGTCTGTCAGAGCGGCGCTAACCCAAGTCTGTATATCGTTTATCATTAGTCCGAAATTGGAGCCATTAATCTGATCCATCTCGCTAATTGACTTTCTGAGCTCATCTATGGTATCGCTCAGTTCCTCCACACAATCTTGCATGGCTTCCACCTCTCTAGGTTGCAATCCATGGCTTTTGGAAAGTGTTACCATCATGGCGGAGGTCGACTTGGCGGATGAAAGGGTCACATTTAGGGCTGCATGGGCTAGAAGCTGAGGGCTTGTTTGGATCAAGCTAGCGTGGGTTGAGAGAGATTCAAAACAAAGTTTTGGGTAACTCGTTGAAGTACAAGATGTTCTGATGAACTCGGTGTTGGTTTGTGGGGCAATTTGCCTACCAGCTGAACTAAAATTTATGTAGGAATTAAGAGCAAGAAGAATGAGAAGGAATTTAAAAGAATGATCAGAGCATAAGCTTGCCATATCTCTAGCTTTTTCTTTTCTCTTTCCTTAGGACTATGGAGAGCTACTGGAATGTGATGAAAATGGGAGGAGAAACGCTTCAAATTTATAGAGAAAATGTTACCCCACGTCCATGTGGGTAAGTCTTTCATCCTTAAAAAGGACATTTTTGGGAACCAAATAATCTTGCTTATAATCCGTGATCGGAGATAATTAGAGGCATGTTGTGTTCAACCAGACAAGGGTAATACAAATTCCGTTAAAAAAAAAAAAGAAGGTTTCGTTAATGACATGATAGATATGGCCCTTTACTGCCTTTTAGCTAAACATCCAAAAGAAAGGTCTTGATTCTTCTCAATCGTAATCTATTGAAGATATTTTTTGCAGACACCAGAAAAATATCTGTACAAAGCATATTGTTAGCGGTTATCACCAATAACATAACATCTCTAAAATAATTTTAAGTGGTCCACCAGTTTTCCTTGTCAAATGGGTAATCAAGTGGGAGAAAATGAAAAGATGTTCCCACAAAGAAAGTAAGCAAATTTTGATTTAAGAGACTAATTAAATCAATGTATTTGGAATGGAAAGATCGAAACAGCTTACCTTCAATGCATGCATGTGGGGTCGTAAGAGCCAAAGGAAGAGGCTTTGGCTGCCGGGTTTACACACCTGTTTGGCCATTTGGCCACTTGAGTCGTCAATATATCCACATCATCCTTTTGCGACCCATCGAGTGGGCTTCATGCATGAGACAATTAGGAGATCATTATCCAGACTATTATGGTAGTGGTGATTGGTTGAACTTTCTCTTTCCTTTGCAGTTTACCGGATTTCAAGATTAACATCACTTTGGTCAAAAGGATTTCCCAGGTTTCTTGGATTGTAGGTAATATGTAAATCTTCGTTAGATTTAGAATATTGTATCCTAATTTTAGTGAGACGTTAATTGAAAACTGAATCTAGACGTAAGGTCATTCAATTATTTAAATTAGGAGACTGTTTCTATCCGAATGCTAATCTTTTATGGGGGACAAAATAAAATGGAAAATGAAATAACATTTTTGTTGGTAGAAATTACATGTCTATTTTCCAGTGCCATTAAAAACCGTTTTCAGTGTAGCTTGATTTTGAACATGACAGATATTCCATAAAAAAAGCTTCTTCCCGGTTTTGTAATTAATATCTTGGAAACTGATTGCGTCTTATTGATTCATTTTTTACTTTACATCGGATGCTTCTTATGATATGATATGAAAATCGCCCTTATTCTTAAAATTACTAAAGAAATTAACTATTAAAGTAGTCTAGCTACCTAGCATATTAAGGAATATATTCATTTATATATATTTAATTAATTAGGTGTCAAGTCCTTCTTATAATATGAACTAAATCAAAAATCATGAAGACATATATATATATATATATGCATGTGAAAAACGTCTTTAGAGAATGACAACTTTTCGTAATTTCAATAGTGATATTGCATCAAGGGTTTGATAGACAATTTTGCCCGCAAGGCGCTGGGACCTTTAGTACTGTTTGAATCGAAATTTTTGTGAAGAAATGGAAAATTAAGGCTGAGATTAATGAAAAGGAAAGGGTGTGCAAATTGAATGGAGCAGGGAGGTATTTTTCTGGAGCAAGGCCCCATTGTAACGCTTGCCCGACACTGTTGTCCTCACTTTGTCGTCTATTTGCTAGTAAAAGCTAGACTATTTAATTGCGCGAGTCATGCCTTGTGGGCTAATTATTAAAATTAAAAAAAAAAAAAACAAACAAGTACTTCAAATAAGATAAAAAGTGTAGTTACCTGGCTAGCTAGATGAGAATGTCTAAGTTACAAAACTTTTCTCTTTAATTTCCTTATTGTTCATTTGGACGACCTTTTCTTTCTTTAACACCCATTCAGGAGCGTGGGTGAAATTCTATAGCTGTGTTAATTCACAGATTGCAGACAACCAAATACTAAATGACCCCCCCCCCCCCCCCCCCGGCTTCAAATGGTAAACCATCCTTGTTCTTTGGCTCCGCCTCCTTTGCTTCCTATCTATACATATAGTTGTCATGAATCATTATTGATGTGACGTTCCCAAATTTATTAATTTTCTCTACAAAAACTCGCAATTATAGGTGCTCTCTCTCTCTCTCTCTCTCCGTGAATCTCATCTCACGTGAAAAATTCGGCTTACTTAAAAGGTATAGTATGATTTTTTTATATAAAAAAAATACTAACAAAGAACAAAAAGCGAAATTGAAAAAACTAATGTAGCATTGATCATCTTATTTGGTTAAGAACTTATCGGGGTGGGGGGGGGGGGGGGGGGGGAATTGCCAGTCTGCAACTGCTAGTATCTTTTTCTAATTTCCTGGAAAAAAATTTTACATTTTTTAATAAATGTATGAATCACCCATACGTTCCTATCCTCTCTCTTGATTCCTAGACGGCTGGATTTCCTTTTTGCAATTCAATAATTGAAGGAGCTCACCCCTACCTGCCCCTCCCAACCGCATTTACAGCCACTTTTGGACACTTGCCTATATATATATAAGGACCACTGTCTCTCCATTCTATCGACATCGATTGAAGTAATTGAGCTTCTATACTACTACAATGAAATCTTTGACAATTTCAAAGCTACCCTACTTCCAATTCCATGCCTTTACAGCCATTGTCACATTTACATTCTTCTGCATTACAAATCCTTTCTTGGCTGCTAGGCTAGAACCCCAATCGAGATCCAATGTTGATTTTGTTAGAACTTCCTGTAAGGTGACCATGTATCCGAGACATGTTACCAGACTCTCTCAGCTTACGCTAGCACCATCCAGACAAGCCCAAGGGAACTCGCCAATGCTGCTCTCTCCATGAGTCTGAAGGGTGCGGAATCAACATCAAACATGGTATTAAAGTTGTCCAAAGAGCATGGATTAAAGCCTGGAGAAGCTGTCGCTATTACAGATTGTGTGGAGACCATAAGAGACTCAGTAGATAAGCTCTAACAATCATTGGCAGCAATGAAGGATGTACAGGGCCCTGACTTCGAGAAGAAAATGAGCAATATACAGACTTGGGTTAGAGCTGCTTTGACAATTGAGCGTACATGCATGGATGGGATTGAAGCGAAAGCAATGAATGGCAAAATCAAAGATACTATTAGGAGTAATATTGGCAGAGTTGCTCAATTAGCCAGCAATGCATTGGCCTTCATCAATAGACTCTCCAATTAGTGATCTCCTTTTCCGCCCTCTGGTGAAATTGGACTCCAAGTAAGAAAAATTAGGGGAAAATCAATGTGCATGTGTATGCGTTAGACATAGTTGGACGTGGAGGAAAGTTTTACTTTGTCCTGCTTGTTAATTGTTATTGTCCGTCTTATCTCCACTTAATCTTAAAAAAAAAACATGTAAATTTCCATTCCATCAACATCATGAGTCTTGTAAATTGAAATTAGTTGATAGCATTTATATATAAATATATATATTAGTGATTATGTCAATTTCTTCTTAATTACATATATACTTTCTCTCTCTCTCTCTCTCTCATATACTGATTCATGTAAACTATTTATTTTTAAAAAATTAACTTTTAAAAGTGGCATAAAATATCTGATTAGCTGATTCCATCAAATTAATTAATAATTAAAGAATGGTAGTATCTTCCACCAAATAAGCGTTTGCTTCTGCACCTTTTCACGCATCATCTAATCCAAAGACATGTGAAATCTCCGTACCATCTTCAAATAGTTTCACTTTTTGAATGGTCTAACTCTGATTGTTGAACATGACACGTGCGTTGATTTCATATGGTACGGTAGGCACATGGCTTGCCTGCGCCTTCACATGGAAAATTTCTCAACTTTTATCTTGAGAAGATGTTATATATATAGTGATAATCATTCCCATTTATCTACAAAAATTTTAACAAAAACCTCTTTAATATGTTCCAATTACAGATTTCCTTTTTTTTTTAATCATACAAATAAATTATGACACGATGTATTTCTCGGCCATTTTGTCATTGATAAATTACAGATGTTATATCGATAATTTTTTAGTACTATAAGAGCCAAATAGACAATTTTACAATTTTACATAAATATATCATCTTATACTTAGGATATAAATTTCAATTTTGGATGTGTCGTTTCTCTTAATATTACTTAAAAATAAGGTTATAAATTAATAAAAATATATCCAAATATTTGGTTCAATTCAATGGTTGGTTGATTATTAGCTTACATTCTTTCTTACTCAAAAAATTAGTTCAAATCTCATCCCTTATTATATAAAAAAAATAGAATACATATTTGAGAAATTATTAACTTCTTGATACTTTTTTCATAAAAGAATATGTTAAAGTATAAAATCCCATATGATGTAGAAATTTGCTTTCAATTGAAGATTAAGAGTGTAGTTCTCACATGACTATTAATTTGCTTTTCGATTGGAAGTTAATCGGCCAAGTAAGTAACCGATGAAGGATGCTTATCACTTGAGGTGAAAGCGTGTCCGTCATTCTCACATAGAATGTGTTGATAAGGTGGTGAACTATATATATATATATTTATAGAATTTATAAATATGCATTGATTTTGGATACTGCATGATTATTATATTATACTTTGTTGAGGTCTTTTAAGAATGGACGGGGAGAGCTTCGAGAGATTGTAAAGTGGTCAAGCAAGACTTTGTCAAATAGCAAATTAGAATTGTTAAAAAGGGGCGCACTGGAATTGTGATTAGAACATGCGCCGATGTTCAAGTGAATTTAAGTATTCAAGATGAAGAAGCTTAGAAAGGCAAAGAAAGAGCAGCTGAGAATGAGAATAATATCACCTTTTATATATACCTTGTGTAATTAGTGCTAGTGGCTCAGTATTAGCTAGCTAGTTAGTATGTTTATGATATAAATGCTAAGTCAGGCCTTGTCTCAGCAGCTACTACTAACAAAACATCTACCAAAACTTACAAAAATTTCATCAAAGCCGACTGCAATTCAACCAGATACCCCAAAGATTGCAACAAAGCTCTTTCCCCCTATGCATCCACCATCAAAACCGATCCCCAGA